CAAATGTAAGCATTTTTGCAGTCAATAACCGATTATCGCGCATTCGCTGACCAATTCGCCGCTTATTGTGTATCGCAGGATTATTTTTCTCGACAATACACACGCACACGCGCGCGCGCGTGCGTTTATACGATTACAAATAATCGCATAATCATTCCTAATGACCGTGACGAAGAAGCGTAATGATAACGGGCGACAAATAATGCGTGTCGAGCGACCGGTCGTGTCAATCGGCCATAATTTAGCGGCCGTAAACACGAGCGTGTCGCATATCGATACGGACGCGTAGCCGAATACAGGTACAGGTGAATTGGGGCGTTAACGAGCTCCTCGAGCTCGATAACTCGCTAAATACCAGCGCGCTAAATAAGCTTATTTCGTTCAGCCTCAGCTGAAGAACTCCAAGCGTCTGCGATTTCGCGCGCGATCTCTGTATATACCGGCGACGACTTCGGCCAACAAACCGGCAATGCATCGTTAGCCCGACTGGCTGGCAGATAAATGACGTGGTCGCCTCAGATCTGACGTGAATGAAGCCACGATGGCTTTACCCCACGTATATGCACCTATACGAGTGCGCGAGTGTGCGCGTCGCATATACGTGTATGTGTACCGGTACACAATCCACACGCCATTCCACGCATCCCCCCGGTGATCGCAATAACTACCTAATGGTACATTGAACGCCTAGCCGTGTGCAGCTTTCGTTCGCATCAATTAAACGTTTTGTCGATCTCGCGTAGAATTTTAGCCTCCGGCGATTGTTCGCGTATTGACCACTCTCCTCCTCTTTTCCCCCCTCGCGCCTTCTCCTCCCCGTTAATAAGCATCGGATAAGCGAGAACCGCGTTAATGATGATTGCTACCATGGCCAGATAAGTAAGTAGGTTTAATGGAATGTTTCGTCAACCTTGAAGCGCGCTAAGACGATCTAGATCTAGTTTTGGTCCCGCGAGTAGCGAGACGTTATTTAACGAGAATAGATCTCGTGGGAAAATATCGATCGGCGATCACTATGATTCTCTTCAACGATCCGATATATCCGGTCGTCCAAGGGAGTATGATTTATGTAATGGTTTTCCCAACGCGCGCTTACATCATAGAGCATGTGCAGGATCCCTAAGGCGTTATTTTTGCATTCATTTATGCCGCAGCTTTCTTGCAGCCGACATGTATTGTAGTTTAACAAGTGAAGCTTTAAACAATTATATAAACCGATAAATAATATAAATAACATAACGTTAGAAATAAAATTTTTACGCTATTGATTTTTGTACAATTTTTCTGACTAAGTACAAAATGTTTTTATTTTATGAAATGACACTACAATAAGACGATTAGCTTGATTATTTTAGATTGAAATATTTTTGTACTTTAAAATATGAAAGATGTGATTTATACTACTTTACGTTTATATATATGTTTACTATATTCGATGTATGTGATAATATTCTCTTCTTATAGACATATAATTATTAGTGTCAAAATTAAGTGTCATAATTAGATTGTTATCGGTATCTTAATCGTGCGAAATTATTTTTCGGCGGTCAGATGGGCAGTTCCTTAAATATATGAAGTACTTAATGTGCGTGCAAAATTTGGGAGTGGCCGTTACACAGCTTACAGGAGAGGGTGGAAGTTGTCTTCCCTAGCGGCAGAAGAATCCAATGGTTTCCGGTACACGCAAAAGCCTCATTAACTTCCGTCACCCGATATACGTCCCATTTTAAAATAGATCTACTGTTCTTCGACCACAAACGGGTAAGAATGGTAAGTATAACCGATGAAAATATCAGCACAATAAAGTGATATAAAGTTTTGAAAGTGTGTATATTAATGATCATTACTCTATACAAGTCGTTTGAATTGAAAATCTGTTAATTTAGAAATCGCTTGTATTATATCCCCAGTAAAATATATTTGCCATTGAATTTATTATACATTAATTTAGAGATTTATCCCCGATATAAATCTCCAATTAAAATTACATTAATATACATAATTAGAATAGGTATAAATGTCATATTAATGATCGAGCGTGTATCGCTTTAATTTACAACGTTATGACGGAACATCCTACGCACACCCAACGAGAAACGTCGGCGGTTCCACGGCGGATGAGCAGCTAGCCAAGCATCGCGACGTCGGCGGACTATCATCGTATCAATGCGGCGGAGATTGACAGTCCTGGCCGTGATAAATGATATTTCCAACGTCCTACTCTCCCTACCCCCTTTCCCGCGCCCCTTTTCGCTGCCACTCCTTCCTACCACCGCGGATCCATCCCTGCTGAGTTCGGCTCGTCGCCGAGGGTGCCCCGGCCGAGTAGAGGAGGGAAGATATCCGCGGCGAGAAGTAAACACGTTACGCAAACAAACGCTGGATCGATAATCCCTCCCCGTCCCATTCAAAGTACACTTTATACGTATGATTTTTTTTTTCAATGTATCTGACATACGGATGTATCTTTTTATTGAGAGGCGTCGATTCTTCATTAATCGACCGAAAGATTTTTTTCATTTGTATCTGATCCAATTTTTTTAATACTTAAGGCTATTTCGGATTCGGTGGTAACACATAAAAAAATTAGATATTAACAATTATGAATAACGAATAATGTGCACTTAAAATTTATTATGTTTTAACGTATATTGTTCTCCAGATTAAACTTGAATAAAAAATATATTCTACTGCAATAATTATTTAGTATTCTGGATTGCTCCACTTTCGTGTTCTAGAGAAAGAATAAAAAATTTTGTCGGCATCTGTATATGTAGGTTGTTTGTGCAATTCATTTTTTTCCGAAAAATCTTTTATTTTGTAACGGAATATTCTGATGAGAACATGAAAAAGAATGGACACAATAAAATATCAAGGGAAAAAGGATTATTGCCATATTTTCTTTTCTATTTTTTTAGTGTTACAAGTTTAACACTAAAGGACGATTGTTCCTTTTTTGCTTCGCATAAAAAACACTCATTTAGGAGAGCATTCTATTATTCTATTCTAATGTTAGCAACGTATGCAAAGTAAGAGGCATATAAAGAGATACTTCCATACCGAATATGACACGTTAAAGAGCTCTTTGATGAATGACTGAGACAAACGTCAATTAATGCATGTAAAAAAGAAACATAAAAGATGCGTTTAGTACCATTACTAATTGCCCATGAAATTGCAAGTTTAGTGAAATGTCCTGTCGTTTTTGTCGTATCATGTCTCATTCTGTAAAAAATACTCACTTTATTCTATCCCTGTTGAAATGTATTATATGTAATCAACACTTAAGAATGGAAATTACTAGTAGATACAATGCAAATTATTTCTGCAGTCATTGACTTTATTAAAGAAAACTACGATTAAAAATGCAATAAGATCAAAAACTGTTCAGTTTTATTATAAATTTTTCAAGGCGAATATATTTTAATCTAATGAAGCTAAACAAAATAAAAAATAAAAAATAAAAAAATTTTTCGGTGAATTGTCATTTTGTATTAATGCATATAAAGTCACGTGTGGATGCAAGTAATTTGTCATGGTACGATACACACGCACCGCAAGCGAAATATATAAATCAATCGCGCACAATAATAGATGCCGTCTGGCCTGATATTCCCAATTTTCCCAAATGGCTACAAATGTCGTCTCTTGCAGTAACGAAAATTCCTTACCTCCATCGTTGCTCATATGGCGGAGAATCAGACAGGGAGTACATAAGCACATATGTTACCCTACCAGAGATGTTACCATTCCATACAATGCGAATCTAATACATTAACTAACAATTAATGTAAAATCATTTCATGCATCCTATATATGTTTTATTTGTTATAATGTTATTAAATTTTTAATTTTTATACGTCTTATATAGATACATTAAGCATATAACACGTATAGTATAATCAAAGTGACTTAAAATAATATACAAATTATTCTCTAACTATTGAAAATTATTCCCAATTCCTCGTCTCTATAGAATACTTGTGAACAAAAAAACTCGAGGTGTATCACGTAAATGTAGGTAGAAAGATAATACGTTGGACCAACTTTGAAACATGGTTTCAACAAAAAAGTCTCGAACAATATCTCTATTCAGTTTCGGTTATTTGTTTCGTTTGAAGTGAAAGTTTTACAACTTATTGTTGTAACGTAGAGACACACAGAACATGGTAAGAGACTTTCCATGAAAATTCTCAGCTTCTTTCCAGATCCTTGGACCCTCGGCTTTGTATTTGCCGACAAAAGACTATTTCATTATTAGACCAATGGGTCAGCAGACTTGTGTAACATTGTAAAAATTACCTGGTATAACAAACTAAGATAAAAGTAAACGGTTTTTTTTTCGGTAAAATAGAAAAAAACAGCGTGTTCAGAAACGTGTATTTTAGGATTTGATTATTATATACGAGAGAATACTCATAAGAAATAAAGACCACACATTTTGCATGGAATATTTCACATCGGATGTCGTTCAGGTCATTCCGTCTTAATTTTATGATCCACCGTGCCATAAACAGGATCTCTACCTCACAATACCAAGATAAAAAGAAATGCTTAGAAAATGTATTAATTACGAAATATTCTCGCGTAAACGCGTGTATATGTATAAGTATATAACATAATTTATTGTAATCAAATATCTCAATTAAAAGAAATTAAATTAATGATGATAATTATTTTATTTTAATTTTCTTTTGTATAACGTATTATATGTCGTATATTTCTCGTATATTTCTCTTGTGTAACGTATTATACGGTCGGCGATGCCAGCAAAAATAAAGTCAGTATAGCTAAAATCATTAGGAAATGCTCCCAACTCCGGAACCCTCGTCCCTTCCCACAAGTATCGGCCATCGAGGATTATTATTTATTGCTATCGGCTAACGCAGAATGCATTTCGCATCCATGCGCGTGAGAGCGCGAGGCGTTCTTCTGACATCGTTCGATTCGCCATGTATGCCTAAACTCGACCGCATACGTGTATAACGCGCAACGAACGTGTGTGCGCGCGTGCAGACGCGTGTCCGTTCAGCCGTTTAGAATCCCCGTAGGTTGGTCACCACTTCGAACGCATCATCAATCACTTTTTTTTTCGGACGCTCTTTGCTATTTATAGTTTGTCCGTGAGGCCGTCTATTATCTTCCGTTAAGGATAATTATTCTCGAAACGTTCTTTTAACCCTATCGTTGACGCCTTGTCCAGCGTGTTTAATCAATACATCTCACTTAAGCATCCTAATACTTTCTTACTTCGTAAGCCATGGCTTTATGACTCGAAAGAATTTCTTGATTAACAATAAGAACAATATGTTTGTAAATACTGATAGCGCGTGTAAACAGACTTCGGTTAAAGACTTGTTTTCACGACCTTGTCTCTGATTAGTACACAATAAACACAGAAATAATTTTATATTCGTGGTAATCGTTACATCGAGAGTGTGTAGATTTCTAATGAAGAGGAAAGAAAATCAAGCAAGATCGACAGAAACGAAAAGAAGAAGATATCTCGCGTTACTTTAACATAGAAAGAAACTGACTTAATAAAGAGATTTGTCTCGTAAAAGCGGCGAAAGTCAATTTCAAATCGACGTGTGCAGGATCAACGACCCTGCGAGCAAAGAAGTCCCATACGTGCACATAACACCGTGCATTGTGCGAGGTCGCGTTGGAAAAGGGGAGGAAAGTGGGGAAGCCAGCGTAGATTTTGTGTCAATAGCATTAATAGTGGGAGGGGACTGCGGCACGAGTAACAGATCAAAAATCGAATGTATATTCGGGGGTGGCCTTAGCAGTGAATGAAGAGGCAGCTGACAGAGGCCGAGCCCCCCTGCGATACCTCGATTCGGGCAGAGGCCGACCGAGACCGTGTGGGCTTTTGTGCTAAGGGTAGCGCATACCCCTCCACCTTCGCCAAAAGACCCCATTCTACGTAGTGCAGTATTATACTAGTTGCAAGTTCGTTCGTGATTTTCAGTATAGTTTGACCCCCGCCTCTTCCCTCGTCCCCTCTAGGACCAATAGACAAGCCTGAAAGTTCTCTGGAAAACCAAACGGACAAACCATTCGCTTTTCGATTCGGTTACACTCTATACCGTAAAGGGAAAAGACTGCAAGTAGCAGTATTAGTTTTGCCGGCTCTCGGTACTGACAACGTGCGGACTAAACGTGTGAGTCGGCAAGAAAACTCTACATCAAGTTCATCTGATTATTTGTGATAATAATGTGATTCCAGTGTATCAGTAAGCGAAATAAATTTGTAGCTGTAAATTTCGTCTCGTGGATAAAAATAGTGTGTATATATGCGTGCTCGTGGGCGCGTGTAATGTATCGGCGAGTGTAATATATGTATGCGTGTGGGCGCGTGTGAGCGTGCGCGCGCACGCTTGTAAATTGCTGTGATATACATATTTATATAACAATATGCAATCAAACCCAAATGATTATTGGCGGAATTGTTCGAGCGAGGAAGATCTCTCTCTTATATTTAGGGAAGAGTGTCAGCCACCGCAGCAGTCATCACACCACTCACTGCACCATCCACCGCATCATCCATCGCATCATCTACCGCATCATCCACCGCATCAGCCATTAAGCCAACAACTGCAGCAAAACTTATTTAATTATGCATCACGATATATCCCAGAACCGTCCAGTTTACTAGAAAAGGCTCTAATTCACGGCAAGAAAGCTGTAACAGGAAGTTACTATGCAAATCCAGACAAATATTCACCGACTCTCAATTCTAACAATCAAATTACTTCGCGGGATTGGGAAACGTCCCCGTCCTCGTCTAATCAAACATCGCCGATTGCCGAGTGTAACCAATCTGTTGCCAACTTACAGGAGCCATGTCAACAACAGCAAATTTTTTATGAACAAAATTATACCGACCATTCCGGCAGTTACAATAGCTCGATTTCTATCTCAAGTCGACCAAGGATACAGGCCCCGTATCACCAAACCATATATTCACGGCAACAACAAGAAACAAACTGTAACAACAACAACAGTTACAAACAAAGAAATAAATACAGAGATATAAATAATACAGACGAACGACGACAGCTTCCTTCTTTCGACAGTTCCACATCATTTGCATGGGTAAATAGGACTAACGGTAAGTCGATCGTTATAAAGCGTGTTGCATATATTGTATAAATAACTTATAGTTTCCATTTTTTATATCTTCTTGTATTTACAAAAAAAAAAAATAAAAATTATGTAGGTGGTAATCGTTACATCGAGAGTGTGTAGATTTCTAATGAAGAGGAAAGAAAATCAAGCAAGATCGACAGAAACGAAAAGAAGAAGATATCTCGCGTTACTTTAACATAGAAAGAAACTGACTTAATAAAGAGATTTGTCTCGTAAAAGCGGCGAAAGTCAATTTCAAATCGACGTGTGCAGGATCAACGACCCTGCGAGCAAAGAAGTCCCATACGTGCACATAACACCGTGCATTGTGCGAGGTCGCGTTGGAAAAGGGGAGGAAAGTGGGGAAGCCAGCGTAGATTTTGTGTCAATAGCATTAATAGTGGGAGGGGACTGCGGCACGAGTAACAGATCAAAAATCGAATGTATATTCGGGGGTGGCCTTAGCAGTGAATGAAGAGGCAGCTGACAGAGGCCGAGCCCCCCTGCGATACCTCGATTCGGGCAGAGGCCGACCGAGACCGTGTGGGCTTTTGTGCTAAGGGTAGCGCATACCCCTCCACCTTCGCCAAAAGACCCCATTCTACGTAGTGCAGTATTATACTAGTTGCAAGTTCGTTCGTGATTTTCAGTATAGTTTGACCCCCGCCTCTTCCCTCGTCCCCTCTAGGACCAATAGACAAGCCTGAAAGTTCTCTGGAAAACCAAACGGACAAACCATTCGCTTTTCGATTCGGTTACACTCTATACCGTAAAGGGAAAAGACTGCAAGTAGCAGTATTAGTTTTGCCGGCTCTCGGTACTGACAACGTGCGGACTAAACGTGTGAGTCGGCAAGAAAACTCTACATCAAGTTCATCTGATTATTTGTGATAATAATGTGATTCCAGTGTATCAGTAAGCGAAATAAATTTGTAGCTGTAAATTTCGTCTCGTGGATAAAAATAGTGTGTATATATGCGTGCTCGTGGGCGCGTGTAATGTATCGGCGAGTGTAATATATGTATGCGTGTGGGCGCGTGTGAGCGTGCGCGCGCACGCTTGTAAATTGCTGTGATATACATATTTATATAACAATATGCAATCAAACCCAAATGATTATTGGCGGAATTGTTCGAGCGAGGAAGATCTCTCTCTTATATTTAGGGAAGAGTGTCAGCCACCGCAGCAGTCATCACACCACTCACTGCACCATCCACCGCATCATCCATCGCATCATCTACCGCATCATCCACCGCATCAGCCATTAAGCCAACAACTGCAGCAAAACTTATTTAATTATGCATCACGATATATCCCAGAACCGTCCAGTTTACTAGAAAAGGCTCTAATTCACGGCAAGAAAGCTGTAACAGGAAGTTACTATACAAATCCAGACAAATATTCACCGACTCTCATTTCTAACAATCAAATTACTTCGCGGGATTGGGAAACGTCCCCGTCCTCGTCTAATCAAACATCGCCGATTGCCGAGTGTAACCAATCTGTTGCCAACTTACAGGAGCCATGTCAACAACAGCAAATTTTTTATGAACAAAATTATACCGACCATTCCGGCAGTTACAATAGCTCGATTTCTATCTCAAGTCGACCAAGGATACAGGCCCCGTATCACCAAACCATATATTCACGGCAACAACAAGAAACAAACTGTAACAACAACAACAGTTACAAACAAAGAAATAAATACAGAGATATAAATAATACAGACGAACGACGACAGCTTCCTTCTTTCGACAGTTCCACATCATTTGCATGGGTAAATAGGACTAACGGTAAGTCGATCGTTATAAAGCGTGTTGCATATATTGTATAAATAACTTATAGTTTCCATTTTTTATATCTTCTTGTATTTACAAAAAAAAAAAAATAATAAAAATTATGTAGAAGATATTAGTCATCTATCCTCAATGTGTAATCTTAAATATATTTTAAACTTGTTTTTAATATATACAAATCCCGTATAATTTGTAACGTGATTATTACAGCTCATCAAGCAAACGGAATGGAACAGAAACGCACGAGGCAGACCTATACACAGAAACAAACTTTCGAATTAGAAAAGGAGTTTCATACCACGCAATATCTCCCGAAACAACGTCGCGAACAGCTATCTTCAATCTTAAATTTATCAGAACGACAGATTAAAATTTGGTTCCAAAATCGACGAATGAAAGCTAAAAAGACGAAAAGTGAAAAATCGCAAAATGACTTCTCTTCAACTACGACTACACCGATAAATAATTTGACAACCAATGTGTTAGCGATTCAACGAGAACAGACATTAAATCTTTTGCAACAGCCGCAACCGCAATCAACTCTGCAACAATTTGACGGAGCATATCAGAATTATTTTAACATTCCATCTTATCAGCAAGATATGTCTTTAATGCAATATCACAACCTCTGAACATCTCTGATGAGAATATCAAAGTAAGATACTCATGTTACGTAAAAATTAAATTTTTGAATTTATCTTAATGAATATAGAATAATTATTTCGAATTCTTGACCAGTGCATATTTTTATTGCACTTTTGTAATTATTTTACTAAATAAATTAATAAGTTTTTTAAAGAATTTATAGAAATAATAGAAATTGAAAACTCTTGGCAGATATTGTTAAAATGCGTTTAACTACTTATATAATATAATATGTAGATAAGAAAAGACATGGAATCACAATTATTAAATAATAATAATTGATTAATACGATAGTATCCGTATAAAGATTAATATATAATATGTTCGACATTTCAGAAAATGCAATATTCAATAATTAAATAGAGAACTATTGCAATGAAGACCAATGTAGTCAGGTAAGACTTACGTCGGCGTTTCGAAGTCAGCCGAGATAACCTTCAGAAACGCAGTATGTCGAACTCGGAACACACAGTTGGTCCTTCACGCCGGTTCGTAAAGAGGGAATGCCGCGACGACCGAGATCGGGGCAGCTGACCTTGCATCACTATGATTTATGGACGAGCGAAACAACGAGCGTTCTACAGCTCAGGTATCAAAAAAGCTCCGGCCGTTCACACCGCATTTTCTTCGAAACATTCCTTTAATAATATTGCATTTTACGGGGAAATATTTGCACACGTCATTCTCAAAAATATTTGGACACATAATGCAAAATTCACAAACAATTTGATTGATGATAATGCTCATATTTGGCAGCTCTCACTGTCGCTTAACTCATAATAACAAGTTAAGCGATACGTAAACAATTTTTTTGTTCTATTAATTTATTACTGTCTTTGCGATAATTATATAATAATATATTAATATATTATTATATAATTATATATATTTTTTATTAATATTGTATATATACTTATATCCATATCTATATATAGATATACATATATATTTATGAAAAAATTGTACATAAATAAATATATATATTACATAATTGTCAGACTTTGGAAAATTAAAAATTGAAACCTATATTTATACCTATATACAACGGATAACAAGCGGAAAGCAGGATATTTTTGAAATATAAAACAATCTCTATCAATGTTAAAATTCCGATTAATGTTAATATATCAAAAATCGCATTTAAAGAATATTAAATATTCTTTAAAATGCTTTTTTTAAATTATGCCATTTTTTATATTCAATTAAATAGAGCAAATAACAAAAAATAAATTTCAGATTAAATTATTATTTTTTCTCCTAAAATTCACTATAGATGATATTTCTTACAAATTGAATCTGCGTTATATAATACAGATCACACCAGATAAGTGAAAAGGACATTCTTCTATTGTTTAATGGCATTTTGCCCCTATGCACATGCCAAAAAAATTTTATTATAAATTTTGAGAGTATAATATCGGGTTGAACGTTTTTGCTGCCAGATGAAGACCGAAAAACGGCACGAACTTTCCATTTAACCCAATATATGAAAGAATTTCTATAATAAAAAACAAAATTTTTTAATTGTTAATTACATATAATTATCTTTATAATAATTGTTTCTGTTAATATCAATGACAATAATATTTTCTTTAGTTTCATCAAAATAAATTTTATAGAAATACAATTTTTATTGTAAAGATATTTTTTTACGGAAGCAATTATTCAATTTCTATACACTAAATAAAATTTGGATGTCATGGACTTTTAACTGAGGAATTCTTTTGAGTTTCATTTATTATATTATATTATATTTATTTATCATTATTCTTATGACAGATATTATGCCAGAATATGTTTTATTTTTTTTTTTTTTTTGATCTCATCGAAAAAGATGGCATAATTTTTATTTACAATTTTTATTTTTATTACGGAACACATTTCACACTTTTATTTATTCACATTTAGACAAAACAATTTTTTTGAAATAATTAGATCCTTTGTTATATAAATGTAACTATTTCAATATTTTATAGCCATATATAATGTTATAATTAGTAAAATATAACAGTTAATTTATTAAAATTTTTGTGGCACAACATGAAAATAACAAGATCACAATACATACTACGGTAAGAGCTTTTATTTTTCTTGCACTGGAAAAGCTTGCTTAGTTAAATGTTAATGCATATATACCTATAATCATCAACATTTATTATATATAATTATTAACTGCACACTCTTCAAATGTAGAAAGTCCTTGAATTTTTATAATATAGAACTATTGTACTATTTTGTTATAGAACACTATACAACAAGATTTAAAAAAAAAGAGTTATTGTTATAAAAAACACTTAAAACGTTAAAAAAAGAAGGACGCCTATCCACGCACGTTTCACGCTTTCAACCATCTTGTTCCGTGTGAACAGCGCAGCTGCATAGCTATCCTCCCCACTACATCACCTTCCTTTCCTTTCTCTTTCTTCCTCTCTCTTTCTCTATTTATCCCCCAAATTCTAAAATTTTAAGCTTGTCAAATAGCAAGTTAGTTGTGCCTCTAATCTTACGCAACTATGCATACTACTAGAGACATTAATTTTTAAATATATATTCGGAAATATTTTCAGCTCATCTTTGAAAAATTTTAATTTTCTCACATTAGAATATATAGAAATTAAATAGCTGATGTTTTCGTTCATATTTAATATTAAGCAATCCTAATATAGCTTGTGACAATTGTTACTTGTGTAGATTCAAAACTGGATATGAGTAATAAAGCGCGAAGTTCACTTTATGATGACGGATTTACGGCTTGCCCATCTGTATCACACAGGTGTGAATTTACGTAAATTGAATTAATAACAAAAATTGGATTTATAACAAAACTTTTCCAGGAAAATTAAAAGTAATTTTAGATTTCTAGATAATTTGAGGCTAAGAACATTAATTTTTCTGGAAATTTTTTGTTGTAAATCCAATTCTATAATATATATA